TCGGTAATCGTCGGACGCATGGGTATGGAAAGCAAAAGATAATCCTCCAGTTGCGCAGTGCCGCATTGCGAATCGAACTCTATAGTTAACCACTGCACACAGGAAGGAAATTCAACACGCTGACAACTAATTGTAGCGCTACGATATGGATGTTCGCTCTCCACCACACAATAATGATTGCTAGTGGTGATGGTTTCGCTTGCATTTCGATCGCCTAGCATTTGTGCCTCACTTTCGCTCTTTTTACGCGAACGGAATTCACGATTATCGACGGCAATAGCATTGCGCACGCTTTGCGCGACCGCAGCTGGACTAATGGTGGCTGCGCCACTGGGTGCAACGTTTTGATCTTTTGTAGCATAAAGTTGATTGAGTGCGGCAATATGTGGTAGTATTTCCTTAATCATGCCGAGTATTTGAACAGAACTCTGCGGGAGAAGAGAAAGAACGTAAGAAAAACTCTATGTATACTACCTTTAAAAAAATTTACTAACTTTTGGATCACTGCATGCCAAATTAGCTATATGCGCATAAACGAGTGGTAAGAGTGTATGGAACATATTGGATGATGCCATATTGAAAACTTCCATAATCTGTACAACGGTTAACTGAGTAACTGGTACATCTTCCGAATCGGAGCGGAGAATCCCACCAATGCCAACCTGATTGTTCTGCTGATGATGATGTTGCACATTCACAAACTCCTGTGCTACTTCATCTTCATCATCCACACGTTCATTGCCGTTGAGCTTCGCTATTTGACCATTGCGGAAATTCAAATCCTGCACTCCTGTACTCTCCTCAATCATCAAGTCTTTTGGATGTATTTCTGTGGCGCCTATTTCAATTTCCATTTCAAACGGATTTGTAGAGCGCTTGTCAAATTTCAAAGTCTCCATAATGCCCTTCGAAAAAGATTCAATACGCTTTGTTATATCACGTGCCGTTGATATATTCGCATCTACAGGTAGCACAGAGGTACGAGAATTATTCGCCCAATTGATGTCCATATGTTCCTCAATTGGGGTGATATTGTGCTCCGAGTCAATAGTCTGTGTGTGATTCGATGAATTGTCTGATGGTGAGAGTGAAGCCGCCAAAGCATTGCGTGCTAAAATCAACAATTCAGTGCACTTTTTTGTAATATCACTGGCAATTTGCAAAGCAGTATCACGAGTGGTCACCTCATTCGAGGGTGGTGCACCGCTCGCACTGTTGCCAATGCTGCCGATCCCACAGCCACCTCCCGACCCATCACTCTTTACGGGCGTGCTATAATAAAGTATACAAGGTATTTGGCCGCGTTGTGGCGTAGTGCCATTGAAGCTCAAGTCACAGGAGTAAAACTGGAATGTAGTGCCGCAAGGGCCGCGTATCGAAGGCATGCCTGCATCACCGGAGCAAGTGCGGGCGCCTTGTGAGCACAAGCGAAGTGCATAACGCGCATTTTCCTAAAATTAGCAATTGTTTAAAATGTCACGAATTAATATACATCGCAGATGCTATACCTTTATGTGCACCGGTCTCTCAAATTTTATTTCTGTCATATCATTGTGTACTACATCCTGATCGTATGAGCCCGATACAGATTCCAGTGTTTCCCATTTGTGTTGAGACTGCAAATCTACGGTGTTGTCATACAACAATTCCAATTGGTAATCATATGAACCGGAACCAGAGAACACCATGGCGCCCGCAATTGCAATACCAGCTCGATCCACAGTAAACCCAATCGCATCGGGCCCGAAATTACCGGTGTTCCAAGTGCGGCTCTGGTCGCAGCGCGCAAAACGGGAGCCGGTGGAGTGAAGGCTGCGTGGCGGCATAAACATTTTGTCATACTGCAAAAAAACGAAGGAAGAAAATAGTAAAAAAACAAAATTAACCCCCATTGCAACTCACATCGCCCAACGAGGTTTGATATACAATTTCGGCCAACACACGCGCCAAGAGATGGCAGCAGTTGTCAATCAAGCCTTGATTAATATCTTTACCGCCGTAAGCGGCTGTATAATTAAATTGCACACTGCGATTGTAAATATTCTCAATGCGTGCGCGTATCGGATTCGCGATGATGTCCAATAGCCGCACGAGCACATCTTTAAAAGTCCACGAATTACTGAGAAAATCACTTTTCTCCTGCTGCGTACGATAGATCATTTGTTCTACAAGTATTGGATATTGATGTGCTTCAGTGGATGACAACATTGGTAGACCAGAGTTGTCGCTTGGACTAATTATCGATTGGCGCTCATTGCCTGGATTAAGCAGTGAAAATGTGGTACGCAATTTGACCGAAGGAGAACAAAGACCAGCCAGTATGGCGCTCAACAGCCGCGAATGTAAGGTGCCTTGCTGCAGTGCGAAAAATTGGAAGCTAAATTTATACTACAAACTGAAATGGAAATCGTTATTTAAAAAATTACCTTGTCCATTTGGGAGAGCAGATCGCACAAGCAATTCCATTTTAGCGACGAGGTGGGATAGAAGGCGTCAAAACAGGCCACAAAGCTGATGTGGCATTCTTCCAATATTTCTACAACCATGACGAAACCTAAATTTTGGTGGAATTCCATGAAATAAATTCTAAAAGCAGAATGTCGGTATTTTACCTTTTTCGTTACAAATATCTTTGAAAACATCATCGCAAAATATGCCAATAAGAAGAGCGCGTACGTTGCCAATGCACTCGGCCAATTGTATATTCTCCATATTGGGCTTGCGAGTCGACCCGTTGTTTGCAGCACCAGACATAGATGTGGTTGCTGATGAGGCTTCACCAAAGTACTTTGCTACATTATTCGCAATAACAGTCGACGCAGAATTGCTCAACATGGATTTGGAATTTTTATCTAAAAAAAAATTATAAAATAATATAAAGCAAAAATGTTTCATACCAAACACCCACGCACCCTTGCCATCCCCCGTCTTGCCAACGCGTGTCTGCAGCTTCGTTAGCGCATTTGCAATACTTGTCGCCGCCACTGTGTTAACAAATGTTGCGGAGGCGCGTTGGGGATATATCTCGTTGGTGTATTTACGCAATAGACGCAGACAGGACTTGTTCACATAAATTAAGTAAGCCAATGATTGCTTCACTTGCAATTGCCGCCCTTTATCGCGTTGCTCGCGCAAATTTGTCTTGAAGGTCTCCCAAGACCAATTGAGCAAAACTACTAAACTCTCAAAGCACTCCTTGCTTACTGTATTCGCAAAGGCTTTTGTAATCTTTTGCACCGGATCCACATCAACCGGCGCAGTGGGCTGTTTTGATTCCTGTGTGACGAGACGATAGAGAATAGATGGTATTTGACCCGAATTGACATCAGTGCCATTATTGGCTTTCTTCGATGACTTGAATGTGAAGACAACTTGATCTTCGGTTGTCACAGAGGCTTGACCACAAGAGCCGCAGTCGGAAGAGGGCCCAGCAATTCGCGCCCAAACTAAATACCAACGTCCTGCTGCAGCACTGATGGGTTTCGGCAACATAATGTGATGTTTACTGCGTGCAGCGCACTCAAATGGCACCTCCTTGGTTTCGCTAATTAGAACACCCTCCTTCTCATAGCCGCCACCATCGGCGCCTAAATCGAATAGTTTCACTTTGCAGGTATACTCTCCCCGACCACCAAACATACCAAAGCCGCCTAACGGTAAACAAAAATAAGGTAAGATAAACTAACGACAGCAATACTCAGTACTTACATATCATGACGTCGGTATCGGCGGAAAAGCGTACAGCCTCAACGCTGTGGCCTGAGTATCCCCATCCACCGCCAAAATTATCAAAGCGATTGACAATCTGGTACTCGTTATTCAAAGCTTCTTTGGCCTGACTTTGTTGCTTGGGTGTGGCTTCGTCAAAGCAGCTCGGACTGAGGAATTGCATAAAATATTGTTAGTTGTTGGTTTCTTGGGCCAGTTTTTCAGTACACGGTTGTGGTTTAAACTGAGTTTAAAAGCTCGAGCTGGCTAGTTTTAACTAAGATTAGCCAATCAAATGTCAGCAAGATGTTCAATATAAACACAGTTTACATGATCTAAATTTAGACTGGTACTAAAAAACTGGTCCTTAGAGTGACCACTAGTAATTTATTGAAGTGAAACTTCTTTGATATTGAGAGTGAATTATAGAAACGGCGGATTAAGATTAGTATAACTTTCGGCAGTACAAAATCAACAAGAATAAAAAGAAGAGTAGTTTCACTTCCATAGTTTGGTCCAAGCGCACTCATTTTTCAATCTTAACCCTTACATAGCATCCTGCGCCGATGTGAGGATATCCAAGCATGCCAGTAAATTCAAAGAGGCTTGTGAACGCGATATACGCGCATCCGTTTTGTTTGGTAAGGCCAGTTCGGGTGATAGAATGGCGCGAAAATTCGACGAGTTCTGTATCAGAAATGCATATATATAGGAGTTCTTAAAATGAGAAAGAAAGGGTTTATTATCAACTTACAACACCACAATTAGCTATCTCGCTTGCAAGCACATTGTAGCACTGTAATTTCCTCGCCCCACCATCATACACCCACAACACATTGTAGTGGGGATCCAAGGCGAATGCGATTTGCGGTTGTGGTTTGTCCAAGACAACACTGCCATGACCGCAGCCACCGCTGCCGCTGGACGAGACG